TTCAGCCTTCCATCCTTCTGAAGTCGGTAAACTGAGTACCCAGCTTCCAGGTAAGCAGATGTGCAGCCTGCCTAATTAATTTGTAAACCACCCAGAGAGTGATTTAAGGACTATGGTGCAGTATATAAGCAGTACACCTTTAGATGCTTTTGCCAAACCCTTCTTGGTCTTTTTTCCTCAGCTGTAGTCAATGGTAAGTACATTCAGTAAAGTTTAAACACTTTTCACTTTTCTTATTGGCAGGCAAAGATATTTTTAAAGAAAATTTAGATAGGCCCTTGGCATTTAAGCTGGTTTAGTGATGATAGGAAGCTATTGTTTTTATTTATTAAAGATTTATTGTGATTTAATCATGTGCTTGATTTGTTTTTATGTTTTAATTTTATTAGTTTTATGTTTTAATCTTAGAAGTTGTGTTAGCATTTTTACTAACTCTTTAAAACTGATGAATGCCACAGTTAAAGACATTGATGGTTTACTGATTCATAGTCACTGATTCATATTCACTTACAAAATACTCAAGAGATTCATCACTAATTTCACAAGGCAACCAGATTTTTAACATGCATTTAGTTCCAAAAATAACATCAGGGGAATAACAGGATAGGAGAGAAAAGTTCCACAGAGTCTTCGAGCTTCCAATGCCTTCCCCAGCATCCCTACACCCAAAAATACATTATAATTGTGTGTTTTGGGGGGTGGGGAGTTGGTTCAGAAGGTCCTGTTATGGGACTAAAGGTGACAAATCTTTTCCATTTTTTAAAAAAGTGGCTAGAAAAAAATAGTTATAGGAATAAATGCAGTCCTCCAAGGTCCAGAAATGGTTGTCTGTGACCTAGATCATATTTTATTATACTACTTAAAATATTGCACATCCAGATTGATTACAGTTAATTATCTCTCCTCCCTTCCCCCACCAATTAATAGTATATGTAAAATGGATGATGGAGCAGGAACTTATTAATGGGCCATGGAGCAAATCTATAATTCCCTGTCTCAAGGAAAGCCCAGACTGGATTAAACAATTCATAGATTGCAGCCTAAGTGCCACAATTATCCAAGTATTTAAAAAATAAAATGAATGAGAAAAAAGTACAAAATCCACAATGCTCTCAGAAATGATGTCTTACCATATTTCTTCTGTGTCAATAAAAAATATTGCAGGTTGCGTCGCAAGCCCTTTTCAAATGTGCTCTCTCTCTTGAAGCAAATGCATAAGGGTGAAGCCTTCTGTATTTGCCTCATATCCTTTCTCAGATTCCTGTAGATTTCAACCCTCAATCCTTTTAATTCCAGAGGTATAACTCCCACAACTCTAAAGTTTATTCTTCTGCTGTCTCTTAATCCATAATGCTAACATAGTACCAAATCTCTCGCTTCTTTAATATTCTGCCTGAATGTCACAATTTCCTATAAATCTGTTGCCTAAACTCAGCACTGAATCCAAAATACAACAACGTCCATCCAGAAAATGCAGAAATGCAGCGCATTTTCTCACACAAATTTATTATCATCCTCGTCTTTCCCCCTCCTTCCATTTCATCCCTCCCTTTCCTTGATTCTTGTTGTCAAACTTCAGATTGTAAGGTCATTGAGGCAGAGTTCTGATCCTTGTTTGTTTGTTTGTTTAATGCTGAAGACCTATGCGCACACTGATGTTGCTGTGTGAATAATAACAAATTACTGCATAGGCCAAGAAATCCTTTTATAATACAGTTTTATAGCTGGAGATATTCACAATCGCCATTTCTCCTCAACTATTTTTTGAGCATCACTTTGAATGATAAGATTTTATTGTTAAGATTGTTGTTTCCTTTAAAGCTATTCATAAACTATCTGGTATTTCCTCCCAAAAATGTTTTATAAATCTAAAAATAACAATAAAAATCAACTAGCATGTAAACAAACAAATCATTGTCTGGTGTCCCAAAATGTTATAACATTTATACCCCCAAAATAGACTCCTCTGTCTCTCATTATGTTATTCTGTTCTGTATATTATAGTGTCTTTTTTTATTTCAGGTGGTTTGTGGCTTTCCTAACAGTTTCTTACTATTTCCATGATTTATTGATTATTCAGATCTTCCCAGAATTTCTGTTCCTAGAAAGATATATCAAAGATATATAATTGCTCTTTACTATATATTTGTTCCTCTGCTCTTGTCAGAGGGGTGAAGGAAATGTACTCTGTGCTTGTTCAGAAGCTTTATTATTTAAATCATGCTCACATATCTGAAGCCAATAGTCTGGAATTAAATATGGGGCTGAGAGTGTAAATTCAGCCTGAAATTTCTAATTCTTGGATGTGCAGAACTAGACTTGATTAACTATGATTTTCTCTCACTTATGCAACAGATTACCTAAAAAAGTGAAACCCAGGTTTCATTCAAAATCAGCAGAATCTCATGTGCCAAAGGTTTCCTGTGTCTTTTTCCCAGCAGCCCTCTGGACATCTCTTTCTACATATTCCAGAGGATTTCAGTGGTACCTTAAAGACTGTCCAATTAGTATGCTGTAACCTTTCAGAGACAACCGTCTATTTCATACAGGTGATGAAAATGTCTGTTGCTTGCATGAGGTTGCCCCATGGTTCTTCTCTAAAATGCCACATGAGTCATATTTTTTTACCATACTGTACCACAGCTATTTGCTACACGATGTTCATTTTCATGGCAGAAAGCTGAGCTTGGCTAGCAAAGCTCTAATCCTTTAAATTAGTGTCTTTGGATCAATGAGGGCACAATCTCAGTTCTCAGTCTCCTCCTTCTTCAAGTTCATGGATTTAAAAACCTTGGCATCCGTCCTCTCAGAAAAATGATAAACTAGCATGTATTCATTAAAAGTCACTGTGACAAACTGCAGTTCTAATAGTCGTAGCTGGCAATGATTTTCCTACTCAGGCCATCATTCCCCACCACCACCATCCTTCCCAATTCTGTTCTTCATTTCAAGGCATCATATCCTTTCCCCCATGATCATGTGGTGTGGAATTGATTCTTAATTCAATTCCACACCAAGCCAAAAGATATTAGACAGCAGCACTAAGAATTAAAGAACGTTTCATCCCACAATTGCATTGCACTGCATCAGTGCAAGGATTTAGATCTCTGTTTTAACCAAACCTCTTTCAATTGTTGGTTTTATCACCAACATGGTAACTGAATTTAAACACTTACTAAAGACATCTGTCTGGTCAACAACAGTAAAAGAACGAAGTAATGATTTCAGTTTTCATTTTGATGGTGACAGTTGCAACTGTTTACTGTTCTGACAGATCTATTGCCTAAAGAAACATGCATTCCACTTGAAGAAGCTGGTGAAAAATAGAGCAGATTCAGATCTGATTTTACCATGGCATTATTTTTGCTACTTGACCCCTGCAATAGCTGCATCGTTCCTGTTACTGAATTCTTTTGGAAAAACCTCTGATCCTGACAAAAGAAGAATATCAAGACTATCAAAAGGGAAAAAAAGGAAGACTGTTCACATGTACATGTTGCATATACTGAAATTTCATCTGAATATATGTTGTGTGGGACTCTTATTCCAGCAGAGTAATGCTCCCTATAGCAAGGAGATCAGAAGCTTGTCTCTCCCCAATTCAGGAGATGTTTACTGTTCAGTTACTTTCCTTCTCAAATCCAGAAAAAGCTCATTAAAATAGTGCTGTGATTTTATAAGAAAGATACAGAGACAGTGCACTTCTAATATGGAGAATTGCAAGAAGGAAAATGGCTGTCTCTGGCAGCTCTTGCTATTCAGATCCAGCAATCCACATGCAGCTATTTTGCTGCTTCCTTGAGCAGATTCTTGCCACGATGTGCCCTTTTACTAAAGGAAGAGAGAGGCCTTGAAGTCCGAAATCACCCTGAGGATAGATGTCTCCTTTAGCAAGAGGCATATGTTGCCATGTGGATTCCTGAATTACTGAGACAGCCATCACAAGACATTGAACATGCTGGGGAGATATATATATATATATGCATACAGGCCATGCCATGTGCAACCTGCCAGCTAGGAAATTATGATCCACGAGGGATTCTTAGCTGCTGCCTCTCTACTCCTCCCCTTGCCCATTCCCCTCATCCTGTGCTATTATGTATGAAATAAACAGTGTCCTCTGGCATGCTGGGCTGTTTCCCAATATCTTTTCAAAACTGGATTCAGTGGCACCAAGCCAGATCCCTAATCTCCCTCTCCTCTGTTGCAGAAAGATGGAGAAGTGAATATCTAAGTTCCCAGTGCAATTCTTCTATGGAAAAGTGTAAAGACATTCCAAGGTATAGTGCTTCAGGGCAGAGGGAAGTTAGCTGCCAGTGTACCACCCCATCAATCTGAAGGAAGAAAGAGCCCCAGACAGATCCCTTGTGACATGAGCAATAGGTCTTGTTACCAACTCCTTCCTGCATCTTAGGATAATTCATTCAAGGAGGAATCAATTCTCTTTGGTAATTAATCCAGCAATCATGGATGGGGCAACATTTGCCCGCTCACTGTATAAGGGTACATTAAACACCCACACAAGCAGGACCAACGTGGGTTTCAAATACAGAACAGGGTGGGGTTCATTTTCCACCACAATGAGCCACTACTGCAGCCATCCTTATGTAATGCACTCAAAGAGCAGAAGTGATACCCTTGGAAGTCTCATCACTGTGCAAAGCAAGGGGTCCAAACTGATTTGGAAATGCTGGGGGAGGGGAGTGTAGGGCATGGACTGGGGCAGAGAGGGACCCTTAGGAGCAGGCTGCCCTGCAACCACCCACAGGAAGGTTTGTGCATAGAGCTGGATGGGAGCATAATTCATTCCTCCTCCTTTCCTCTTTACTACCTTCTCTGGAAAAGTTCAACGCCAAAGTCAAGACCCACTCACCCACCCCTTTGCTGAAGTCATAGAAATGCACCTGCTGCCCCAACTGCTGCCCCCACCTGGCCGCCAACTCAGGAGGCAGGCAGGTTCAGAAGCACAGCTCAGAATGAAGGGAACATTCATTACTCACAAGCGTTGGTGACAGCAAAGCTGTTGGCCACCTCCAGATTGTCGATGTGGGATGTCAGCCGGAAATCGGAGGTGGAAAATTGAACCAGCCCTACTCGAAATGCACTGTATTCCTGGTCAGCTCCCCTGGGGAAGAGCCCCCCTGTAAGGTGAACAAACACACATGGAAAGAGAAGGAGAGAGAGAGAGAGAGAGGACATCAGTGCTGCAGACTGGGCGGTAGCAGTGACAGCCCTGAAGGGAGAGTCATTCACCCTGTAGCCAAATGCAGACTAGAGTGGCCTCCATTCTTCTTGACCTGAAGAAGGATGTATTCTAATATCTCCCTATACAATATCTAGAAACAATGCCCAGATTTTTGGGGCGGGGAGGGTTGGGGGGGGGAAGAGTCAACCGCTCAATCACAGAGCAAGCTATTTTCTGTCCATGAAGGGATCCGTTCAGATCTGTGGGTTTCACCCATCCAGCCCAACTGATTTCACTAGGAAGTGGACTGCACCTTTGCTAACGGTCATCCCTTCACCCTTTAAACACAAGTGCTGGAGACGAAGTCAGTGGAATGGTCTGTGACACCATACCGAACTGATTTGAAGACTGGTTTGTCCGGGAGCAGGGAGCAGGGCAGATGAGAGACGGTAGAGCAGTGGCTTGATATGTGCTTTTGGGGCGGGGGGGGGGGGGGGCAGAGAGAGACCAGCAAGGAAGACATTCTTCGCATCCTTTCGTTCCAGACCAGAGAAAGCTTGATTTCAAGCGCTCTGACAGAGATGCTCCGATTGTCAGGGAATGCCGGAGAGCCCAAATCGCATGTAAAAGAAGAACCGATCAGGATTCTTCCCGGCGAAGGGAAGGGGGGCAAGAAGCACCGGATCCTCTCCAAAGAGGGCACTCACCTATTTGTACGCCGTTCGCGTAGGCTCCCCAGACGAGTCCCCAAACCAAAGGAGCCAGGAAGAGAGAAATCTGCCGGATCTTTTGCATTGCCATGAAAAGTAGAGCATCCACAAAGCCACGGAATGTTCCTTCGCTGCCGCCGATGCCGCTTCTCCTGTTACTGCCCGGACCGCCGCCGCCGCTGCCGCCGCCGCCGCCTGCTCCTGCTCCTCCTCCTTCGGCTTCTTCCTCCCTGCCCGTTTCTCCCTCAGCGAATTAGATCCTCCGCATTTTAGGCAAACGGTTGCAGGACTCGAGCTGGAAAGGAGCCCTCCGCGGGGGACAGGGGAGAAAAGGAGCGGGGCGGGGGGCGCCGCGAGGTTCGGCCCGCTGCTGCACTGGTCCCGAGGCCAGCCCGAGGAAGCGTACGAGGTCCGCCGGGGGCGGCGGGGGTGGCAGAAGGCTAGAGAGGAGGCGAAAAGGCGGTGGCCGAGGCTGCTCCGGAGCGGTCCCCGGTGCTTGTGTACATCCAGCTCTTCCACCGTCGAGCGGAGACACCTTCACGCCCTCCGGGTCCCTCCGCTTTCTCGTTCTCTCAGCCCCTCTGGCTCCCTCGCACACACTTGCACACACTCTCACGCGCTCCCCGCACCGCGCAGCCACACGCGCACACGCGCCCAGGCACACGCTGCCTGCACACACACACCAGCCGAGGCACGGCGGGCGAAGGCGAGAAGAAGAGTCG